CACCCCGACGCCACCGACAGCAGCGGCGCCGGCCTTAGCTCTGCCCCAGGCGCTCCGAGCCAGCTGTGGCCGAGCCCCGGGAGGACGCGGAGGCGGCGCCGGTGGCGGTGCTGGGGGACCTGGGCGGCTGGAGCGGCCTGAGCCTTGTGGAGTTGCTTTCTGATGAAAGATGATGTCTGAGTGAAGCGCTTTCCTTCTCCTGACTACCTCAAGGTCATTGATGTGCAGGGGAAACATTCACTTTTTCATTAGCCTCATATTTGGAAAGACTCTCGTGACTTATTTTCCCACCAGGAGGAGGAGGCCAAGGAGGACAGTGACCTGTCCGATTACGGTGACGAGGTGGATGGGAGGAAAGACTCCTTGGCTGAACCATGTTTCATGTTGATTGGGGAGATTTTTGAACTTTGGGGAATGTTTAAATGGGTGAGAAGAATATTAATTGTTCTTGTTCAGGTCACCTTTGGAAGAACCATCAACAAACAAATCCGGGGTACAGTGAACTGGATTTTCAGTGAACAAATGTTGGTTTACTACATCAATGTTTTCCGGGATGCTTTTTGGCCAAATGGGAAATTGGCATCACAGAGGACCATCAGAAGGGAGGAGCAAAGTCAGGAAACAAAGCAGAGAGCTTGGTAAAAGCAGCTTGAGAACATTCCAGACATGCTTCAGAGCCTTTTTGGACAGCAAAATGCCAGCAATGGTATAATAAAACTATTCAGTGCACTGCAAGAAACCAGAGCCAATAAACATCGGTTATATGTGCTGATGGAGCTGCTTCTAAAGGAGCTCTGTCCTGAGCTCAGAACTCATTCGAGTCGGTTCCGACCCATAGCGACCCTGTACAGGGTTTCCGAGGGTGTAAATCTTTACGGGAGTAGAAAGCCTCATCTTTCTCCCGTGGAGCGGCTGGTAGTTTCGAACCGCTGACCTTAAGGTTCGCAGCCCGATTCGTAACCACTACGCTACCAGAGCTCCTTTAGAACAATTAAAAACCTGTGAAGTTTGAGACTGCACAAATAAACCCCAGAAAAATGTCTGTGGAATAATAGACGTGAAACGTTTTCCTCTTCTCCACAGGACCTGACTGAGAACCATATTGACTTCTATTGTAGTTATACCTCCCTTTAATTTTATTGAAGTAAGGAAAATTGTGAGAGGGGGGCTTAATGTTTTAGGGGCAAGAGAAAAAAAAGAACATTTGTTGAGTTTTTCTTTTTATTTAAATAGTAGCATAAATACATAAAATTGAACATACTGATTGAAATACAGATGGAAATACTTTATTTATGAAAAGCTTTGTTTGAAATGAAGAACTATGACTGTTGAACAGTTAATTTCTTCACTGAGGATTCTGAACATTCCTGTATTCTTTCATGTATATTGAAGAACACTGTTGTGCAATCCTTTGTGTAAAGTTATTGTGAAATTTTTTGTCTTTATTTTTAACAGATTTCCCAGTTTGAATCATTTGAAGCAATAAAATATTAAAATGAAATATATATATATATACATACTGCTGGAAGACAAAAACATTATGTCAGATGCAGTGCTAGAGGACAGAAACATTATGCCAGATGTTGTGATGGAAGACCAAAACAGCATCCAAGAGGTAGTGCTTTGGGACCGAAACATCATCCCAGACGTAGTGATGGAGCACCAAAACATCATCCAAGAGGTAGTGCTTTGGGACCAAAACATCATGCCAGATGTAGTGCTGAAGGACCAAAACATCATCCCAGAACTAGTGCTGGGGAAATGAAACATCATCCCAGAACTAGTGCTGGGGAAATGAAACATCATCCCAGAACTAGTGCTGGGGAAATGAAACATCATCCCAGATATAGTGCTGGGGGACCAAAACAACATTCCAGAAGTAGTGAAGGAGGACGAGAACATCATGCCAGATGTAGTAGTGCTGGAAGACGAAAGCCTTACACCAGATGTAGTAGTGCTGGACGAGCAAAATATCATCCCAGATGTACTACTGAAAGACCAAATCCTGCTGTCAGATATATATAGTGCTGGAAGACCAAACTGATGGTAGAATATACTGCTGGAGAATCAAAACCAGATGTCAGATATAGTGCTGGAAACACCAAAACCGGATGTCAGATAGACATAGTGCTGAATCACTAACTCATGATGTCAGATAGATGGAGTGCTGAATCACTAACACCCTTCCTAGGCTTTGTGTGCTTTCTGTTCCTATGCTTTGCCTTTCCAGTCCAAATTCCCCAAAGAGGAAATACAAGGGTTCCAGTGCATAGATGCATGTGTTTATTCCAAACAAAACGTGCTCAAACCTGCTTCTGAGATCGGAGGGTAGCTGCAGGCAAGTTCTCTTCAGGGTTAGTGTTGTTGTTGTTGTTGTTGTTGTTAAGTGCCGTCGAGTCGGTTCCGACCCATAGTGTTGTTAGGTGCCTTTAAAAAGGTCCAATCCAAACATAGTTTTTGGGACCAGTTTAACTCAAAAGCAGAGAATTTAGCTCTGAAGGTTGTGGTGACCATGTTTTGGGATTCCAATCGGATTATCTGGATAGATTTTTCACATTACACAGGATCACTTATGAAGAAGTGTTAGGAACCTGTTATCCGAGGCATTTTTCCATTACAACAAAGTGCCTGCTCATCCTTTGAGGGGAGCAAGAATTCCTAAGAGAGCGTCATTGGGAAACCTAACCACATTCCACCCTAGACCTCTGACCTTGCTCTGTAGGTTTCGTTTTGTTCCCCAAACTCAGACAATTTAAAAGGAAAACGTGAGTCTCTTGAAGATGTCAAAGTTGCCGATTTGATGTTGTGTAAACCAGTGTGCACAGTTTTGAGAGATGGACTTAGGTGGAGGATAGAATGAGAAACAATAGCTTCACATTTTGATACTTCCATAAAGGGTTCTATGAATTTGTTGCAATACATTCTGACTCACCCTCGTGACTGCCTCACGCAATGTCACCATGAGGAACCTGTTTCTGACTGCGGCCTCTGGTCTCACCTGGAAGGGGGCGTCAGGGGCAACAACACCCAGCCAAGCAGCCATCTGTTTCAAAAGCACCTGATGCTCTAGACCTCAAATGTCAGAGGAATGTGCAACTGCAACCGAACAAATTGATTAAAAAACCCCCAGGGATCAATCTACCCAACAGAAAAGAGCGGTCAGGAAAATACAGGGTAGGGTGAAACATATTTAATGTGATTATTAAAATAATCATTACCTTTCTCCTCACTGCTGAAATCATGGATGAATATGGTTTTTTGTAATTAAAGTAAGAATTTTTATCATGGGAAAGGTATTTTTATTATTACATTCATAAGTAGAGAATATATTTCAAAACAAGTTTATAGACTACAAAAAACTTAGACTCAAGAGAAGTGAAATTTATTTAAATACTTTTAAAGTTACATTGTATGCGCATATTCACATACTCATATTCACAGTTTATCAAGTAAGAAAAACTAAACTTTTTAAATGTCAGCTTTGAAATACGTACATTTTCAGTAAAACGTTTAGTACTTAGGTTTGTTCTTCTAAAATGGGAGGAAAGACATTATTAGTAGAAGATATTTTTTAAAGAACAAACAACATGGCAGCAGCAAAGATTTGTTTAAACTCAACTGGAAACCAATGTTCCGAGGAACCAAAGTGCAGAGCTAGTTCTCCCTCTGAGAAAGACAACTCCAAAGTCCAAACTGGAAGGCAAGAAAACTTCCCAGAGCGTGCGACGTGGTGCTGTAGTCGGAAGGAAATATTAAGAGAGAATTCTAATGATTTAGGACAATTTTGATCCTGTCATTCAAAATAGTCAGTGGCGTCAAAGGCAAGTAAACCACTACTCAGGGCTCTGCACGAGGGCTGTGGACACTAGGTGCAGCCAGTCCCTGACAGCCACCACCATGTGTGAGCCACGGAAGTCCCACGTCCATAGTCAGATACAATGCTAATCACACAGCCACTGTTCTGACAAGTTCTTCTTTGGGGGACGAAAAAATTCCCAAAACAGATTCATGGCTGGGAAGCAGTGTTAGCACAGCACGAGCCAGAAAAGGACACCATGAAATCAATCAGCCCAGGACAAGCCAGCCGTCCCGTCCATGCAGTCGGGAAAACGCGCGTTTGGACTTTAGAGAACTTTAGAGAACATTTTCAAGCTAGTAACTAAAATTTTAATTTAGCCCCATAATTAACTGCAGTGTTATTTACTTTATACTTCCTTATTAAATGGGTGTGGTGCTGTAGGATAAACACTGGGCTGCTGACCACAAGGTTGGCAGTTCAAACCCACCAGCCACTCCTTGGAAACCCTATACAGGTAGCGTAGTGGATTTGGAGCTGGCTGCTAACCTTAAGGTCAGCAGTCTAAATCCACCAGGTGCTCTGCGGGAGTCACATGAGGCTTTGTGTTCCTGTAAAGACTTATACAGCCTCGGAAACCAAGCACAGGGTCGGTACGAGTTGCAACTGACTTGGGAGCACACCACCGTGAGTCGGAACTGATTCGCTGGCACTTAATGACAATAAAAAACAAATGATCAACTTACCAATAAAACATTTTCCTTCATCCTTTAATCATCACCAATTTTGTCCAGTCATTTATAACTGATAGCAATCTTATTTTGTAATAGTTTTCTATTATCATTTTAAAAGCCTAAATCCAGATGTTATGCTACTGAAATTTAGCTGAACTTCAAAATTCACAGTACTGCCAAAAAACAGGTAGGTCCTGAGGTTCAGCAAAGAGGAGGGAGTGACTTCATTCTTCATGTGTTAACTCTGGTGGTGTTCATGGTGCTGAATCAAAGGGCTGTAGGCTGCCGTCCACACTGCACACTGCCAGACTTTGAGCCAAGACTGTAATACATCTGTACTGTTTGGGTACAAATCTATGTAGATGCAAATGTCAGACTTTCTGACAAAACGGTGACAATGATATAGCTTGTCATTTTTTTCCAAATGGATTCTATTTGGTTGAGAAAGAAACCATTTTCTTTTCCTTCATCTATCGAAGTCCAGACCAACTGTGCAGATAGGACGCCCAACCTGAGGAACGGGACGCAGTTTCTTCCTCACCTTTGGAAACAAAGGAAAAGTATTAACATTTCTCAATGCAAAGAAATCTATACTCCAGAACCATTTACAATATCAGCAAAAAAGAATTGTTTTCTTTTCCATTAAACTGACTATATGCTGTCTTTTTATGCTTTATATGTTAACTTCAGAACAGTGCCGTGTAATATGAAATAATTTAAAATGGACCCTTCAGATGAGTTCATTAAAAACCGAAGGCGCAATGACTCTACAAATAAGGTCAACAGTACAGACTGCAGGAAACAGCATTACTCTTCTACAATACGGTCACCTCATGCCATAGCCGGACGTTTCCAATCTCTGTCTGCTCTGGAACAGCTGTATTTGTATTGATGTGACAATTCCAGAATAGCGTCCAGAACGACTAAGCTTTATGACAAGGGAAGTTTTAAACCTTTGTTTAAAAGAAAACGGGACATTTTCCATGATTTAGCAGAGTCTACAAACAATACAGTCATTGAAAACCTAAAAAAGACGCCAAATCACACCCATATCACCTGTGTTAGCATCATGTTGAAGTGTATCATTTACCTGTGGTAAAAGTGACATTTTCAGTGCATCGTTTTATGCATTTTGACAAACGTACAGCATGTACCACTAGTCAAGCAAGGCCTACGACGCTGACTGACCCCTCAAAGACTCGTCATAGCCTGCGCTGACTGACCCCTCCTCCGACTCCTTGACACCCACGGCTGTTTTCAGTCATTCTGTCTTGTCCATAATGTCACATGAAGAGCACAGACTGTAACCTTTGGAGTCACTTGCAGTGCAGCTATGAAGTGTCCTTGTGTTGTGTGCATATCAGCACGCATCCTTTTTGGTTTCTGAGGAGTGCCTGGTGGGTTTAAACTGCTGACTTTGTGGCTGGACGCTTACCACCAGGACTCCTTTTATGGCCTGGTAGTATACAACGGTGTGGTACCCCATAGCTCGTGCCCTTTATGTCCCGTGTGTAAGCAATTTAGAATACCGCAACCATCAACTGTGCACGGGATTGTAGTGGGAAACTACCCATGATGTAATTCACATACCATCAAATTCACTTTTGGAAACTGGATCATTCTGTGTCTTGTGTGAACGAACGTCTTCGTTTCTAGAAGTGGGACTGTTATTGTTTGGTGAGTATGTAACGCACGTAGTAAGAAACTGTCAGGGTTTTCCAAGATGGCTATATTGGTGTGCATTTTAGAAATGGTCCGATTGTTCAGCTGGTCCTTTTGGATGACCAACACAAATCCTGAAGCAGCTTAAAGTTCTGAGAAATTCTGCTTTTCCCAAAACTTTTTCAGAAAGGGTCTCTCTTACTTTTTAAATGTATATTAGTACATGAATTGAAATTTTTAACAACCATGAAAAAAAAAAAAAGTGAACATCCCTTTTCATTCCTCATCCTTGGTCCCACCCCTCTCCTCCCAAGGTAACCAGTTTTAAACTGGCACGTGTGCTTCCTGGCAGCTTTTCTGCATTTTCATACATTCATCCTGCCACTGTAGGTGTTCATGCAAACCAACATTTTAAAACCTCACACCAGGGCATTAGCTTCTTGTTACTGCATAACTAATGACTATAAACCTAGCACCTTAAAACACCACCCATTTATCACTGCCCAGTTTCTGCGGGTCCAGAGCTCTGGCCTGCGTAGCACGGTGCTGTTAGAAAGGAGTTAGCCAGGGCTGGGGTTTCACGTGAAGGCTTCAATAGAGACTGACGTCCAAGCTCACATGGTTGTTGGTGTTACGTGCCCTCGAGTCGGTTCCCACCCACAGCGACCCTGTATAGGGTTTCCGAGGAGTGGCTGGTGAGCTTGAACCACCGACCTTGCTGTTTAAACTGGCTTTGTAGTCCAGCGCATGAACCCAGGGCACCACACTTGGCATATGCGTGTTTTCTGTCAAGTTTGACCTCACTAGAGAGTAAAGAAAGCAGAGGAAAACTTGGAGCTCCTGGATGAACACTCGAGGTGAGGGTCCATAAGGTGCTAACTGACATGGAGAAGCAAAGCCAACTTAGCCTAGGGTGTGATTTGGGTGACAAAGCAGCACTCTGAGAAGTGTGCTGTGGCTCTCGTGCGTCCCAGGGAGCAGGTTCAGTTACCATTTCACTGCAAGCAGAGAAGCAAACCTGCACTCGTAAGCAGTGTCAACTTCGTGGTTTGTTTTGGGACAGATGGTGCATGTCCTGTCCTCTGGCCTTATACCATAATTCCACAGCTGACCAGCTTTACACAAACCACACAGACTGTAGCCCCCGAGTGGCAGGCACAAGGCCTGGTGGTCTTTGCTTTAACGGCTCCACCACCTTCACTGCCAACAAGAATAGCTCTTAGACCTCCTTTCTGAGTCCCACACATGTGCAGAGCTGGTGACGGTCTTCAGCATCTTGGCAATGAATGTCCCCGATGTGACCAGGGAGGGCGGAGGCCCTATCTGTAATACGGTGACAAACCAGTTTCTTTTGTGTACATGGTTTAGAATTTCCAATGTTCACTGAAAACACATTTTCACGAGGCTGACAGCTATTGAGCACCATGAAGATAAGACTCCACCACTGTTTTCCAGAAGTACATTGTAACCCAGCAGTTATGCCTTTAGTGGGAATCGCCCCCATGGTATTTGAGATTTTTTTTTTTTTTAAAAAGCTTCGCTTTTCTGAGATCACTTGGGAACTTGATTAATTTTACTTGTTGCAAAAAACACTTAACACAGTAGTTAACAATTCATCATTTTGTTCGAAAACCTTTTTGAACCTGTGGATTGCTAGCCTTTATCAGTCCTGGAGAATTTTAGCCATTGTCTTCAAATACTATCTGTTTCAATCTTTTTCTTTTCCTTTTAGAACTTTTATTATTATATGTAAAACACAACATGTCTTCATTCTATCCTGTCTTTTTATACACGCTTCTGTTTTTTCTTTTTCCCTATTTTTTATTTGATATTGAATTCTGGATAGTTCCTCCAATCAATCTCTCGGTTTACCAATTCTCTTAAGCCATATATAAATCTGCTCTAAGCTATCATGTTTT